CAAAGCTTCTCCCGGAAGGAAACATTAAAAAGTCAAAGAACCTACACAGGTGAGAAACGTTTTGCCTGCACAGTTTGTGGACAAAGATTCTCTCAAAAGGGAAACTTAACTGTTCATAAAAGAATACACACTGGTGTGAAACCTTTTGCATGCACCCACTGTGGGCAAAGATTCTCTATGAAGCAAAGCGTAGAAATACACACAAAAACACACACTGGTGAGAAACCTTTTGCCTGCACATATTGTGGACAAAGATTCTCTCAAAAGGGAAACTTAACTGTTCATAAAAGAATACACACTGGTGAGAAACCTTTTGCATGCACCGACTGTGGCCAAAGATTTTCTCATAAGGGAAACTTAAAAGAGCACATAAGAACACACACTGGTGAGAAACCTTTTCCCTGCACAGTTTGTGGCCAAAGATTCTCTCAAACGGGACACTTAACTGTTCATAAAAGAATACACACTGGTGAGAAACCTTTTGCATGCACCGACTGTGGCCAAAGATTTTCTCATAAGGGAAACTTAAAAGAGCACATAAGAACACACACTGGTGAGAAACCTTTTGCATGCACCGACTGTGGGCAAAGATTCTCTCAGAAGGGAAACTTAAAAAGTCACACAAGAACACACATTGGTGAGAAACATTTTTCCTGTTCAGTTTGTGGCCAAAGATTCTCGAGGAAGTCTCAGATTAAGAATCACAAGTGTGATGATGAGACACGCAGTCATCAGTGAAGTTTTCACCTCTCATCTGAGTAGGCTTCATATATTCGTGTGGCAAGGCTGATTGTATTTTACGTGCCTTCCTACTAGGATGCTGAAGTTTTCTTTTCCTTGAGTGAATTGAAAATGTGTTTTTTTGGTTGTAATATTCTAGCATTTTTATCAGGGTTATAATACTTTTTGATTCTTAATGGGAGTTAGTTTTCATTTGGTTGTGAGTTGTGTTTTTTCAATGTCGTTTGTTGTATGTCGTTTTCAGAGGAGGTTTGGTCATTTGTATTAGTTTTCTTTTTCCTGCTCAAAATTGAACCGTCCTTGAATCGTATAAAATGTATTGTGTCTTCAATTTTGCTTCATGTGCTCATTTCTCCCCACCCACCTGCTGTCAATCACCTTTGGAGGTGCTCAGAGTTGAAAGGGCAGTTGGGAAGTGGAGGTTAATTTGATGAATGACGAAATAATATTAATGTAATCTGTGCACAAAATGGTCATTTGTGTGCATTTGACTTAAATGTTAGTGTCTCTATCCTGTATCATTTGGTCCATGAATAAAATAGTACAAATGTCGGTGTAGTTACTTTTTGTATGTGATGCTTTTTGAAAAAATAAAATATAACAGAATATTCCCTCACTTTGTCTCAGTTTGAACTTTTCTGGGTTCAGTTTGTCTTTTGTCCACACCGCTTCCTGGAAAACCCCTGGACTTCTTCTGATCCACTCTGTGCCACAGTCCACAGGAATGAAAATACCTCTAAGCTCAAGGTTCGGAAGCTCCTCTTTCAGAGGCCTCATCATGGCGCCTGGATCACGTCGCTCTGGTCATTGCCAGTAGTTTCACACTTTCACCCACTTCCATTTTGTCTTCTCCAGCCAGACAACCATCTCATGTGAACATTGCCCTTCAGTATTGCTCTCAGCCAGGGCCAGCCATTTTGGTGCCCTCAGCATAAATGCTTTGTGGTGTCCCCCCCATCCCCACACTCTGAGTCAGAAATTAACAATCTCTGCGGATTTATCAGTTTTGCTTTATTTTATAACATATTTTGCAAAAATATTTTCCAAAGTAGGCCAACCCGGAGGTCCAGTGGTTAGCGCATCAACCTCACAGTGCAAAGGTCGTGTGTTCGGTCCCGGCCCCGGTCACCCTGTGTGGAGTTTGCATGTACTGTACTCCCCAGGCCTGCGTGGGTTTACTCCAGTTTCCTCCCACTTTCCAAAAACATGCATGGCAGGCTGATTGAACACTCAAAATTTGTCCCTCGGTGTGAGCGTGAGCGTCGATGGTTGTTTGATCCAGAAAAAAAAAGTTATACTGCATATCTGATTAATTTGCATTGCGTTCACTGTGCTGGATAGGTGTTCTTGTGCGCTGAAAGTGTGCGACCAGTGCGTAGTTGGGCAACTTAGAGGGAACATTGGTGCCGTTGCATCTCCGGTAAAAGTAAATCTAAATGAAAGATACCGTTCGTTGTATTGCCTCGCGCCGGAAACTTCGCTTGTCTCGAAGCATGAGGCAATTAGCTAGTCTCTGTTGCTATCTACCGGTATGGAAGAGTACTACACGATTACTCTATCGGGCGATAAACTGCACAGGCATACATATTGGATCATTTCCCATGGCACACCATGACAATATCTCAGGCACACTGGTGTGCCGCGATGCAGCGTTTGAAAAACTCTGCAATATAGGACCCGTTCTGGCGCCCAAGCAAGCATTCCCAAGCATTCGACGCAAGTTTCGGAACGCATTCTTCAATCATCAAGCCAATAAGACACGAGGCACAAAAGGTAGGCAACGTCAACATCATCTCACCATTTTCAAACCACAAAATGTCAAAAAAAATCCACCATCTGTGGTAATCCAAAAACACAACAATGCCAAAACAAAATCAAGAATAAAATGATTCAAGTTTTTTCATGCATTCATGCCAATAAAGTGGAGACATAGAAATTCAAGTTTATATGACAACTCCAGACCTATTAATCGCTCATTCACATTGACAATAATGTTTGGATCTCAGCTCACCAGCCCATCAGTTTCCCGAGTTCGAGACGACCGTCCCTCATTGTCAGAAATAGAATTGGACAAAAGGTGCTTCTGTGTCAAATGCTCGCGCATTGCCGTCGTGCTGCTATGAAAGGCAAAGTCACATTCTTCGTTCTGACGTCTTTGACGTCCTTGTTGAAATGTTCCTTTGATGTCCAGTGCCATGATAGCATAAGCATACGACTGTTATAATATCCCAGGGGTGGTCAACTCGCGGCTCGTGAGCCGAATGCGGCTCTTTGGCTGGTTCAATGCGGCTCCGGGCTTTTACATGACAAGCATCGAAAATGCCTCTGCGGTGGCGCTGCCATTCAAACAACGGCGCTTAGTACAGCAAAACCTACGATGTTAGCCTATCATCAATCCCGTTACTTGATTGACAAACAGGACAACCAGTCAGATGACAACTGAATTTTGACCTTTACGTCACCGTTCGTCCTCAAACAACAGCACTTTTTGAGAAATAACTAAGCTTTTGCTAAATTGTTCATTATTTTCATTTTGTATTTGAGCATTATATTCTTTTGTGTTACAGTTACCCAAATTATATTCTGTTTCATAATTAGTGAAATATTATTATGTTGCTTGCGTCTGATTGGCGAAGAAAAGCAGGAAGTTTTTTCGTTCCCGGAAGGAGGGGTGTTCGTTCAAGAGTTACGGAGCAGACGATGGAAAATAAAAAGCTGCGTTTAAACGAAGTCCATCTCTCCTTTTTGCCCATTCCGAACGTAGAGCCATCCATCCAAAACCTACGAACCCCTCAACTTACAATTGGTGGCAGCGGTGTTGGTATGTTTTGTGTGGCTTTTTGACTATTTTTAATGGAACGATTTTTCTTGCTAATTGTCATCTTGCTAGCCATGTGGATTTTTGCACTCTACTGAATGGCTGCTGCTAGTCGCTAATTAGGATGAGATTTTGAGGTTTCCTGCAGTTTGAATTTCTCCCTACCTTCCTTTTGGACGTTATTTCCATCATTATTCAACAACATTTTTGAGCTCACCATGTCCAATTCTGAGGCGTCCGTGAGTCAACCCACGAAATGTCTCATTCCACTGCTACTTCTGTGGCTGCTGCGGATGTTACTCAACCAGGACACCTCAACATTGATTAACCACCAGTTTCTAAAGGAGATGGGACCGTGTCTTTTACTAAGTGGTCTCGACGTTTTGAGGTGTCAATGCAAGCCATGTACAACCAACCAACCACTGAAATGTCATCTGTTCTGGCTTCAATTTTACCAACAAGGGTAGCTGAGGCTGCATTTCTGGACTGGGATAGCCTTTCCCCCGCAGTCAAGGAGGACTGCGGTCCTAACCAATCCCTGCCATTTTTCCAAACCCATATAAATGCTCGTCCCCGCAAGCCTGGTGAGAGCTTAGAGGTGTACAGTGCTGACATCACCCGCCTCATTATGGAAACCTTCCCTGACTATGGCCGCGTAGCACAGGAAGGGGAGAAGTTTTGTCGCTTCGTGGCTGGTTTGGATCCTGGCCTGCAAGCAAAGATCCACGAGATGGGAGCAGGAGACCTTGACGAAGCCCTCATTGTTGCTCGACACTGTGAAAGAGCACGTGCGGCACTGAACCTTCGTGCTTCATACCCACCTATGCAGACTATGGACCAGGTGTCAATGACATGTTCTGATACTGCTTCTGATAAACATCTAGAGGCAATGGAACAACTGACACTTAAAGTGAGTAACCTACAGAGTGACATCCACCAGCTTCAGGAGAAAGACACCTACCGCAGCCAGCACTTTGACCACTGGGCCGATCGATCTTCTGCATCTGGTGATCCCCTCGGTGGTGCACGCCGCCGTTCTCCATCCGAGCATCGTGGTCCACGCCAGTCCAGAACCTACTACTCACCTGACAGATGCTACGGTCGAAGTCCAGAGTTCTATCGCAGGCACCGTCCAGACTCTCCTGAGTTCCGGCACAGCAGACATGATTGGATCCCTGAAGATGGCCGCCATCGCCACCATTCTCCACGCAGACCTGACTGGGACTCCTCTGAATATGAACGCCAGCAAGGGCATTCCCCAAGCAGACGCAGCTGGGACTCTCATTAGGATGCCCGACGCTATTATTCTGCAGATAGTACATCACAAGGTGACTACGGTGACTTCCAGGTCAGGCCCGATCAGCCATACAGAAAACACTACAGCTCCCTGTCACGGAAGGAGAGGGATGGAGACCGACCGGCCAGACAAAGTGTTCACTTCCAGTCTCCTGAGAGGCGAGTGCCATCCGGCACTTTCCGATCAACGCAACAGGGAAACGCCCACCTGGTGATGTCGAGGGGCAGACCTCAGCTTGTGAAATAGCACCCCCTGCCCCAACCTGAAGCCTGACAATCAAGACCAGGGGTGGGCAAACCTTTTGGCTCCGGGGCCACATTGACTTGACCTGACCTGACCTGGGTCAGCACAAGATACGGGACACATAAAAAATTTGCATATGTTGACAGCCCATACCAAACATCAACAGAACAAAAGCATTACAGTATTAACATACTTTTTTTAACAACCATCATGTGTGACAACACAAGCAACAAAGTGCAACAAGATAGGTATATACATATTCACCCCTCGGGTGGTGTCCATCCTCCATTCAGCTCGGGTCCTCGACCAGAGGCCAGGAAGCTTGAGGGTTCTGCGCAGTATCCTTGCTGTTCCCAGGACTGAGCTTTTCTGGACCGAGATGTCCGATGTTGTTCCCGGGATCTGTTGCAACCACTCATCTAGTTTGGGGGTCACTGCTCAGAGTGCTCCGACCACCACAGGCACGACTGTCACCTTGACCTTCCAGGCTCTCTGACCTCACTGAGCCCTTGGTATTTCTCGAGTTTCTCGTGTTCCTTCTTTCTGATGTTTCCATCACTTGGGACCGCTACATCCACTACAACGGCTTTCCTCTGCCCTTTATCTATGATCACGATATCCGGTTGGTTTGCCTTTACCATCTTGTCAGTCTGGATCCCACCACCACCTACGGAGGTGTTTCCGATTTTGACCTTGGCGTTTCCAGTCCATACTCTGCACAGATGTC